ACCCGCCCTGACGGCGCCATTGGCTGGAAGGGAAGAAGGGGCCCGAGAAGACGATTGGGTGCAAGGGGCCGAGCGCCCGCCTCCCGCCGCCAGGTCTCATTTCTATTGGTCTCCGGGGAGCGCCTCGGGTCCCTTTTCACATGGATAGAGAGGGCGGCAGAGATGATTGGAGGAAAGTTTCACGGCTCCACCCATATCGGTAGAATCGATTGCTATTGGTCAAAATGTCGGACGGGGAAAGCATTGAGGCTCACGCCTCCTTCGTCGGAACGGGGCCCGCCTATTCGGGTGACCTGATCAGCTTATTGGCTAAAAACGATACGAGTGCCCGCCTTCGCACCTGTGCCACCAATTGGTGGTATGAGTGTGGGCAATTTCCTCTTTCATGGTGGCACACTCCTGCTGCCTATTGGCCGTTTCCTGTGCCCATCTGGCTACGACTCCGCCTATTGGCCAGAAGGGAAAGCCTTCCAATCGGTACCTCCCCTTCCTTTGCCATTCATTCAGTCATTAAGGCTACGATTGAAGATATAAACCTCTTCCTAGTTAAACAATTAGGATCGCCCTTGAGGAGTCTTTATTAAGATACAGGGTGTCTCTGAGCATGTGCAGAGTGCCTTTCTTGCACCAGCCACGCCCATGAGAATCAGTTCCCTGGGAGCAACCTGAACAGCCCACAGTGGAGGATGATAGATCATGGGGTTCATTTATCATCATCATTACTAATTGCCCCTCTTGAAGTTCCTGAACTATCTATTTTTCAGCAGTAATATTAGTCTCATTATTACTTCCAATATTTGGAGTCCTGTTTTCTTTTACAAAATTATTGTGATCTTCTAGTTATAGCAGAAAACGACACATAGTTTAGACAAACGAGTCTTCTCCAACCACCTCCCCAGGACACATTGCAGGGATAATCCATATGGGTCTTTTGTTCCATAAATCTGCCCTGCTTCCTGCTAAACCTGTCTAGTTCTGCATTCATCACACTTTTCTTGGGAGTGTCCTGGCTATTTAGCCCCGTCAGGAGTTGCATTTATTAAATTCTATTCGGCCCTGCTTCCTGCTAAACCTGTCTAGTTCAGCGCTCATCACACTTTTCTTGGAAGTGTCCTGGCTATTTAGCCCCGTCAGGTGTTGCATTTATTACTTTCCCCTTTCACTGCACAATTTCTCCAAGGAGTTCAGAACATTCTCCCCTACCTTCCCAACTACCTTCTGAGATCAGACAGGAAGAGAGTGAGTCACACAGGTGAATAAGGACTGGACATTAGGCCTCCTCTCTCTCCTAGAAAGAAGGAAAATGGCCATCTACTTCATCTTAGCTTGCACGTTTCACAGCACAGTCTTGGCCCTGAACACAAGTTCCATTAAATTCCATTCATATTGACCAAAGAGAGAAAGAATAAAACCCTGTGACAGCTCTTCTTTATCATCTTCTCTTTATCATCTTTTGCAAAATAGCAATTCTCAGTCCCAGCCCATATGTAAGCAAAACAGTTTCATTTCATGAAATACTTCAGATTAAAACCATGAAATGAAGCCACAGGTTATCATTGTCTTTTGATATATTCGCGAAGGCTTTCACGGCCGGGATCTAAGATGCCACAGAGACTGGCGAAACGTTAGGAAGAGCAACCTTCAGAACACGGCCAAAGAGCCTGAAAAACCCACAACCATTTTCTTTTGACATTCCCCATTGTGGCTGCTAAACCTAAAGAGCCTGAAAAACCCACAACCATTTTCTTTTGACATTCCCCGTTGTGGCTGCTAAACCGTTTACACAGGGAGCTGTCTTTCTCATTTCACCTGCGTTCTCCTCCTCTGCTGCCTCCTACTTCTGGCTCCATATTTGGGTTCCTTGCTGGACAGAGACCCATTGACTAGAAAGACTGAGGCCATTAACCTGTGCCAGCCTCAGGGCCCATATGTCTCTAGAGAGCCTTGCAGCCCACAGCTGCAACTGTTTCCCCACAATTGCCAAGATCTGCCATGGAACACAACATAAAACACAAGGATACCTTTGAATACATACAGAGTATTTCCCTCACCAGGTAGCGATCCCCTGCTTGCATTCACTGAAAAATAGGCATGCATCTTGATGGACTGAAGATCTCCCAAATGTTTAATATAAAAAAGGATACAGGGAAATTAACATAAGCAATTCCTTTTGGGGCTTCTCCTATAGTCATCATTGATTCCAATGACAGGAAAAACTATCCCAAATAAACATTAAGGAGAATTTACTGAGAATGAGAGTTCTTTCCACAGTAGAATGGTCTATTTTGGAAGTGATGGATCTCCTATGGAGGGTGAATGGCCATCTGTTAAGGATATTTTAACTACAGTGGACCCTTGACTTACAGACGGCTTGATTTACAGACTTTTTGAGTTACAGACTTCTCTGGCCGCAAAATTTAGGTTTGACTTGCAGACTGAGACTTGACTTACAGACCAGAAAAAAACCAAAATGGAACAAAAACGGCCTGTTACGGGATTAATCGGTTTTCAATGCACTGTAGGTCAATGGAGACTTGACTTACAGACTTTTTGACTTGAGAGCCGCCTTCCAATACGGATTAAGTTCTCAAGTCAAGACCCCACTGTACTGACATTAAAGATGGGAGGAATGAGATGACTCATGATTCTATGCTTCTACAGCTATGGTAGCTCATAGTTACAGCAAGATCTCTCCTTTCTCATGCATCTGACTCATTCCTGCCCCGCTATTTAAATGAATTCTGTGTTACTACGTACATCTTGTGATAGTGAAGTTAATTTCTCTGTGAAACAGGCTTTATCTCTCTTGCCAGTGGATTTCACAGGGAGATCCCTAGAGCCACATTTTGACATTCTCTAGAAAAACTATCCCTCCCACCGTCCCCCGAAGAGGCAGGGAGAAGATGCCCAAATATATTTACATCTTTATTCATAAATAATCATCTGACTCAGGCCTTCCTGCAGTTTGGTAACATTACAGTGAACAGAGAAAATGCTAAAGTCCTGCGGCAACGCCGCATGAAGACCCGCGTTGGCTCCAAGCCCCAATCCTTAAACAGCTTTCGGTGCCAATTTGTTAGTCTTTGGAGACCAGTCTGTGTATAGCGAGGGATCTGGCATGTATGACATATGCCACTCTTTGAACTTAGTTCCTCCAGATGCTGGCTCTGAGGACAAGGATCTCTGTGCAGGCGTGTGATCTTGGAGCGACGGCCAGAGGCTGCCCCTCAGGGTGGTCCCAGGATCCCGTACGATCCTCCTGCTGAACGGGCAGTGCTGACCCAAGAGTCAAGTGAGAGGGAAGGTCGGCCTGTGGCTCCCAGCGAGGCCTTCTTCCTCGTCATCCTCCTCTCCTTCTTCCTCCCCCGGGGGGGGGGTGCTGGCTGGGCTAGTTGACCCTGCAGGCGCGGATCATGAGGAGCTGGAGGAGGATGAAGACGGGCGCCATGATGAGGCCATACCAGAGCTCGTGGCTCTGCTCGCCCAGCTTCTGGCAGAGCAGCATCTCGAAGACGAACTTGAGGCTGAGCAGGGTCAGGATCCAGAAGAGGCGCAGGACGGCCAGGCGCTTCTCGCCGTCCTGGAAGAGCCGCACCGAGACGATGGCCGTGAAGTAGGTGCTCAGCCCGTCGGCGGCGAAGAAGGGCCCGAAGACCCCCCACCAGCTCAGCCCCGCCGCCGCCGCTCCCGAGGAGGAGGAGGAGCCCCCGCCGGCCCCGCCGTCGACTTTCAGCACCAGCAGCACCGAGGCGGCCAGCAGGGCCAGGCCCTGCAGCAGCAGCTCGAAGGGGGCGAAGCCCAGCCACTGGACCAGCTCCCGCAGCGAGAACAGCATCGTCCCCCCCGCCCAGGAGGGCCCCGGGCCCCGGGAGAGGCGAGGCAAGGGGCGGCGGCGGGGAGGAGCGGCGGGGAGGAAGAGGAGGCCCGGCTGGGCAGCAGAGACCACCGCCGCCGCCGCCACCGCTTCCCCAACGCTCACGCAGGGGAGCCTGCTTCCGCTT